TCTTAAACTAAAATTACCTTTGAAGTAACACTACTGTATCCATGTCGTTACCCCAATGCACGTAAGGAATTGCTGTACTGTGTGCACGTCCTGTTCATGGTCACATGTAAAAAAACAAAGATTACTGAAGTTCTTAACAAAAAGAATCGTGAAACTAGTAGACTCAGATTCAAAAAAAATTTCTTTTATATTAATTGCCAATAATAATGTAATAATATTTGTAAGTGTTATTAGTCCCCCTTCGGACGAAGTCCGAAAAACGGGGACTTATAATTTGGTCTCCGTCCGTTCGTCCGTCTGTGCGTGCGTCCGGAGTCATATCTCAGAATCCCTTGAACCGATTCCGTTCATTCTTTGCATGTGCCTAGTACCTTATGTGGGACATATGCACATGCAGTGGTTTAGTAATTCGATTCAAAATGGCCGACTGGCAGCTATCTTGTTTTTTGAAAATGTTGCATTTTGGACATGCTTTGTCAGTTTTCATTCATATTTAGTACATAGATCATACATGTTAGGATACATGTCCCGACTGTCTGTGAGTTCCGGAGTCTGTCCGTCCGTCCGTCCCTCAGTCTGTCCAGAATCCTGTGGACCGATTCCGTTCATTCTTTGCATGTGCCTAGTACCTTATGTGGGACATATGCACATGCAGTGCTTTAGCAATTCGATTCAAAATGACCGACTGGCAGCCATCTTGTTTTTTGAAAATGTTGTATTTTGGACATGCTTTGTCAGATGTCATTCAAACTTGGTACATAGATTATACATGTTAGGATACATGTCCATGACGATTTATTTCGCAATTGGATCAAAAATGGTCGACTGGCAGGCATTTTTTTTTTTTTTTTATGTGGTATCGTGGACATGCTCTGTCAGTTTTCATTCAAATTTGGCACATACATGTACTTTATACATGTTAGGATGCATGTCCATGACAATTTGTTTCAAAATCTGGTCAAAGATGGCCGATTGACAGCCATCTGACTTTTTGGCCTTACTACTATATTTCCACAATTTATGTACCATTTTCATTCGTATTTGGCACATACATCATACATATCAGTGTGTTTCATAATCAGATCAAAGATGGCCGAATAATGGATGTTTTTATTTTTGGCCATATTACTACTACACGGAACAATCTGTTGTATACGACACTTGGAACTCAAGTTTCAAGGACACACTCGCGACAACCCCTCCGCTTTAATATGATGAGCACAAAGGGAACTTAATTTAACGAGACTGTGTCATTTTCAATGACTTGTTATTACTGTTATTTAACATACTAGAATATAAAAATTAGTTTGTTAACTGATGACAATATTTTTACATGGATTGTAATTTACTGAATTCAAGAGTGCAATTGTGGAGTTTGGTAATATTAGACCTGTACCTTGTCTGCTCTATGGGACAAGACAAAGTACAATTCAAGTTGGATTTCTAACACACATCCGTGGGTCGATATCACGCCCTCTATCAGGAGTATGTATTCCAGTAATGTGTCTTTCAAGAAGCTGTAAATAGTTTTGAATATATAACATGATCTATAGTTAGTTAAAATGTAATCTGCTGATTAGCCAAGTTTTTTATGGGGGGGGGGGGGTCAGAGAAGAACTGTGGTAAATATTTCTAGATTATATTTTCAGTTCAAAAAATGTTTTTTTTTTATATATTCTTTCTTCATGGTTCAAGTGTGCACAGTTTGTTTTTCTGTCATTCATGGTTTCTGCAGAATTGTTTTTCATTTTTTTGTCACAGCTTATGCAAACAAAAAACTTACCTTTTTCTAATGGTTCAATCTGATTGAATTTTGTATTTTTACATATACATGTAATTTGTTATTTTGGTTTCTTTACGAATGTTTTTTGAATTTACAAAAAAAACACAAAAATAAAAAAATAAAAAAATTGAAATTCCAAAACAGTCAGGTGGGGAATTTAGTTTCTAAAACTTTTACATTAAATGCATATCATTAATACCCAGCTACAACTAATGTTCACTACATGTTCATGAACATGACTTTGATACATAAAGGACATCTTCATACAAGGTTTGCAGTTCTGTTGATGACTAATAATATTTGCCATACAATCTTGATAATTTTTTAATAATTGCAGAGTCAATAACAGGGTATATAAGATACGGATGTCTTTTCTACCTGCCGACTGTTACAAGGTAAAGCAACTTGTAAAGTTTCATTATTATGATTTATCTTATATGAAAATAAATTTGAAATGTAAACTGTGTAAATGCAATGATTTTTGAAAACAAATTTCTTGTCTATTATCAACACAAGTTTTTAATTTTTTTTTTCTAAACACTGTTATGCTGAGATGAAATATGAATGCACATTGCTGACAATCCAGAAAATAAATGTTCCAACTTTTAATTTCAGGAAGAAGTAAACCTGAAACCAAGTGATGTGTTGTATTTTGTGGAGAAGAGATTCATCAGACGACTATTAAGTGTGATCAGACAGAAAATGAGACAAATCACAGACATCAAGCAAGTTGAATTGTTTATTACACAATTGTCACAACATTTCTCCAGTCAAGATTCAGTGACACATTTTGCACATTTTTAGTTATTTTTCTATATTAAATTCTTTTTTAATGCTCGACCAAATGAACATAATTTTTTATCAGCTGTAGGTCTTAACCAGTTATTTGACAAATTTTTAAAAAAAAAAAATGTGCAGGTTTGTTTCATGACAGACAAATATTGACTTTGAGGGCTCATTGGGTTAAAGGTCAATGTATTAAAAACTGAACATTAAAAAATTAATTTAACTACTTGAGAAAAGTGCCTCTGATTGGAGATTTACAAAAAAAATATTTGTTTAGATAATTTTTAATACAATATCTGTGTTTGATGTGACATGTACAATATGTCCTATTTGTTGAACTTTTCTATCAGTTAACTTTCCCTAAAACAAAAATGTCCTCCAGCTTTACTTTTATTCAGATTTGTTCCTACCAGCTTTTATTTTGAACCTGTGAGAAGAAATAACTAATGATAAATCTCCTGTTCCTATTAATACTGTCATCTTACAGGTTGGTGGATGCTAAAACTAGATCATTTCTTTTAAATGATGACCTAGAAGATGTAGAGGAGATTCCTAAGCAAGTCAATGAAGACTTGAATGAGAGCTCTGAAGATGATGAGAATGACAATGATGATGATGCTGTTGCTAAGAAACTGAAGAAACAAAAGACAGATGATATGGAATATGATGAAGAAGAGGAAGAGGAGGAGGAAGCTGGGAATGAAAATGGTAGGAGTATATATTGTTCAAAACATATTAAAATCACATGCATATAATAATGGAAATAAATTCAACTTTGTAAAGTGAAATAATTGATGCCCTAAATTTGTGTCCTATGTTTGTAAATGTTTAATTTTCATTGATCCTCTGTGTCTGAATGTTGGCAAATGTTTTGGCTTCTTGTTTGACTGTTCGTTCTAGATGCTTGTGTTAATGCTTTGGTTTCAACTCTGGTTGGATTCATTTAGTATGACTATAGCTTACACTAGGTAATTTACAATGACGGAAAATCTAAACAGAAATTGTCACTGCTACAAAAATTTGAAATTTTCACTGACTCACAAAAATGATCTTTTGTGCAATTAAAATAGTTAAAATATATCCTTTAAATGACTCACAAAGTTCTCAAACATTTGTTTCAAGCTCAAATTAAAACTTTTTTATTGGATATCACTATAAACTGCTCTATTGTCAGATTCTGGAGAGGAAACTGAAGGTGAGAATTTGGAAGAAATGGAACAAGAGGACATACAAGGAGATAATGACAACGAAACATATGAACAATTAAAATCTAAGAAAAGAAAGAAGAAAAAAGACACTCTATTTAGAATTAATGTGAGTTTAAACCAATTATGTTTTATGAGTTTTTTTTTGTGGTAGAACATTTTATTATATGTTTCACAGCATGAGTCATGCTAAAAAGTGCCCCAGTCCATTATGACATTTTTGAGGGCCCAAATCAGCTTTTATCATTCAAGGTGCTTTTTCACATGGTTGAGTTTGAGTACAGAGAACGCTCACTTTTGTAAGAAGGAAAAAAAAGCTTTTGATGAAGATCCATGGTAAGCTAAAAACTTGGAAACCATGGAAACAAAAATGAATGACAACGAAACTGGTTTTGTTTTGGCATGTACATGCATGAACTCTGCGTTAGTTTATTCTATGAATAGTAATGATTCAAGATAAAAAATACAGCACTCCATGGATTGTGATTATTTTTTTATTTTTTTAAAATTTTTTAAATAATTCTTGTTTTCCAGCTTCAGCCATTCTTGTTTTATAGCTACAGAGCTACTTGTCTAATGGGGTTGGGGTGTGGGTGGAGAATAATTAATTATGGTGCAGTAATATGCTCACAGTACAGAATTCAATGTTTTATTTAATTTTTATTTTTATTTTTTTATTTTATTTTAAAGAATGTAGTTAATATTCATGATTGGATTCATGGATATGAATTTGATGAAGAAGATGAACTATGGTGTCAGGTTGTAATTAAGGTAATTAATTCAATACATGTATTCTTATTAGTCCCTCTTCGAACGAAGTTCAAAAACAGGGACTTGTAATTTGGTCTTTGTCCGTCCATCCGTCCGGAGTCATATTTCAGAATCCTTTATACCAATTCCGTTAATTCTTTGCATGTGCCTAGTACTTTATGTGAGACATATGCACATATTGTTTTTGAAAATGTTGTATTTTGGACATGCTTTGTCAGTTTTCATTCAAACTTGGTACATAGATTATACATGTTAAGATACATGTCCATGACAATTTGTTTCAAAATCTGATCAAGGATGGCCGATTGAAAGCTACAGACTTTTTGGCCTTACTACTATATTTCCAAGATTTATGTACCATTTTCATTCGTATTTGGCACATACATGTCAGTTTGTTTCATAATCAAATCACAAATTCAACAGAGACTGTGTCATTTTCAATGACTTTTTGTAAATATATCTATGTGCTGAAATCAAACTGAACACTTTAGACTACACAAGCAATCACTATTACGCTCACTAGTGTGGCAGGAAGAGCATGTGGTTAGTTTCCAAAAGACAACTAAAGAAGTGATCAGAAGCAATAAACATTTATCACTACCCAGTACCCAAATTGCATTTAAAATGCAAAATATTCACCTATACACATGTATTTATTATTTAAACTCTTTGGAGTCCAATATTGTTAGCTGCTTAAAAACAATATAATGTAATAGTAATATTACTTTTAATGCCAAGTACTTTTTTTGAGCAATATTTTGGCCAATATTGGTTTATTACTATTACAATAATAATAATAATAATTATTATACATCTGCATCGTAACGCTATATGACTGAGGTGTTTTATATGGTAATAATAAGTCATACTTTGATGATCGTGTCTGCAATAAATGCAATGTACATTTCTATTAGAGGTACACTTGTAAAAATGTGATACAATGCATTATTGTTAATATATTCAAAAAGAATGTGTTCATTTTTTGTTTTGGCCAATATTTTGTATTGCTCACTAGAAATAAATATTGCCCTGAGAACCATGCAATCTATGAAGAATAATGTTAAGTTTGAATAGTTTTGTACCATGTTCAATTCCATAGGAATAAAGATTTCCAATTAAAATTGACAAAATAGATAAATTTCTGAAGTACAATAAAACTTTCAACATTTTTGGGATGGTGTGAGATACTGTTTATAAAATAGAAAACCTAAATTATTATGTTAAGTTTCCACACCATCTCATAAAATCTGTTTCAAAATAATATTGGTCTTTATATCTTTCACAGTTGGATATCCTGGACAGTAAGATGGATATGTGTTCTGTGATTAAAAATAATATTGGTCTTTATGTCTATTACAGTTGGATATCCTGGACAGTAAGATGGATATGTGTTCTGTGATTGAAAATAATATTGGTCTTTATGTCTATTACAGTTGGATATCCTGGACAGTAAGATGGATATGTGTTCTGTGATTGAAAATAATATTGGTCTTTATGTCTATTACAGTTGGATATCCTGGACAGTAAGATGGATATGTGTTCTGTGATTGAAAATGAAGCAAAGAAATTAATTGTGTATGAAACACCTGGTGTTAAAAGATGTTTTCTTAGTGACAATACAGATTTGGGACATGAAGGAAAAAAGACATTACATACAGAAGGAGTCAGTATTATGGTAAGTCAAGTTTTCGATTTTTTTAAAAATCTCATAGTCAAGTTATTAGTCCCCCATTCAGATTAAGTTCAAATGGGAAATTATATGTTTGTCTGTCCACACCTGTTGCTTGAACATGCCCAGAACTATCATGTCATATTTCAAAGACATATACATATGCACAAATCCAATTCAAGATGGCCGAATGCCTTTGATTTTAGTGCTATAGAATCATTGAAATCATTCTAAAACAAAATGTATAGAGAGATTTTGTTTACACTTAGCTCTGATATTGAACCTTTGGGCATGTCCTCTTGTTTTTCAGATCAGATGCAATATGGCTGACTGTTGCCCATTTAGTTTTAATGAAGTATGTTCAGGAATCCTATCCCAGACATGCCTTGACTGATCACATTCAAACTTTATGCATACATTATGTCACACATATGCACATATCTATTTATTTTGTGATACAATTCAAGGTGGATGAAGCATTTCATTCCTGCGATTCTGAATCCAGATCTTGGTCATAGATTGACAGATATCGTTCAAACATTGTATATATTGAACATAATGGGACTTTAATGAGCATCAAATTCAAAATAGACAACTGATTTATTATTATATACTTTACATGCTCTTATTTCTCTTGTTCTTGAGTGCTCTGCTACTAGTATTTATTTGCTGACTTTTGACACAATGCTTGTTCCATGGCCTCTCTGCGATTTACTGTAAAACATGTTGAAAAAGCGGCATGCAATTTTAGCGAATTTTGGTAAAATGACGTAATAGCCAAATGTTGATTTAGCAAATCTCTGTTATTGTTGATTTCTTTGTTTGGTGGCCATGCATTTTGAATTGATAATAAAGTCATTAGCGACATTTTGAATTAGCGAATCTGTTCTCTCTCGCTAAATTCGCGAAAGAGACATGCTCGCGAAAAAGACATGTTTTACAGTATTTGCTGACTTTTGACACTATGCTTGTTCCAGGGCCTCTCTGCTATTTATTTGCTGACTTTTGACACTATGCTTGTTCCAGGGCCTCTGCTATTTATATGCTGACTTTTGACACTATGCTTGTTCCAGGCCTAGCTGCAGTTGGATATCGGAATCCACTATTATTGAATTATTTCACAAGAAATGTTTATATTTTGAATTATTTCACAGGAAATGTTTACATATGACAAGATATTAGATTTGAATAAGCTGTACAGTAATGACATCCATGCTATGGCTGCAACCTATGGAATAGAAGCTGCCAGAAAAGTTCTCATCAAGGTAAACTTCATATTGAAATATGTCAGGATGATGATAGACTTTCCTTGAAGTGCTTTGGATTTTTGTTGTCTTTAATAATCACTTTTAATTATTTTTAGCACTTTTAAGTGTAATAATATATGCATGTGGGAAATATGAGTAGTGTAATATTATGGAAATATTTGATATTGAATTTAATCACTTTGAATTACAATGTGCTGTACTAATCAGGAACACAGTGACTTGTCGTGAATCCATGGACAAACAATAAAATCGATCATAAAATGTTTATATATATTTTCACTATTCACACATATTCACACCATCAAATATTTCACATAATAGTCCCAAGACTCCAATATAGCTATAGGAATGATGTCAGAGTACATATTCAGACCATCAAATATTTCACATAATAGTCCCAAGACTCCAATATAGCTATAGGAATGATCTCAGAGTGTAACTTTAGGAGATATGTCTAGTAAAATGATACTTTCATTTCAGAAGCACATATTAATCCATATTAAATTAATTGTGAAACAAAAGAAAAAGTTAATTTCTAATTTTTTCACCATTATATGCCCCGCTGATTGCTTTGTCTGTTTTCTATAAATCCCTATTATATTTTGTTTATAGGAAATTCAAGAAGTTTTCAAAGCATACGGAATTCATGTAAATGCACGTCACCTGACCTTAGTAGCAGATTACATGACGTATGAGGGCGTCTACAGACCATTCAATAGATTCAGTTTACAGTCTAGTGCATCACCATTACAGCAAATGAGTTTTGAACAATCCATGACTTTTCTAAAACAAGCTACAATTGATGGTAAGTTCTTCCATTCCATAATACCATAGTTGTAGTATTGGGACAACAATGAGGAAAGAGGGGTAAACACATCATAGGCATTGTTTCTGTGAGCATGGGCATGCGAGTTGAGTCGGTTGGGAGTAGAGACCCGGAATAGAGAACTCGAGAAGCAAGTTTACCGTATGGTAACAATAAATCAACTGTTTATTAGCTTCAATCGATTACAAGCAAGTTACAATTAAATAACAAACACTCTACTAACAGTAACACCAGGATGTGATTGGTTGAAAGAACTGTGGGTGTGGCAATTAACAACAGTGGGTGTCTAATTAGGTCAGACTAACAGTCTTCACAGTTTTTACTAATTAGGCTGCATACTATATAGACTAATTATGCATATTATCGGTTTACCATTTGTGGTTTAGTCACCTGACACTATCCCAGCTTCCTCCCTCTGGGTCTCCGCTTCGCTACTGAAAAAAGTCTATGTGATTCATGTTCTCCCACTATAAATTTGCATATCGTTAGTCTATGAAAACACCCAATTATGTATAACATGATGTCAGTACCAAATGTCGCCCACTTGAATAATTAATAAATACATGCCCATATTTATCATTTTCTTCTTTCTCAATTTTAGGTTCATGTGATCAGCTGAAATCACCTTCTGCTCGTCTCGCTGTTGGTAGAGTTGTTAGCGGCGGTACAGGATCATTTGAGCTTGTTCAACCTCTGGTGTGATGAACACTATCAGAACACTAACTTAGGCTCTTGTGATCAGCTTTTATCAATTCTAGAATTTGTGTCATTGCTGTAACTGATACCTTGATTAATGAACACAAAATAATTAAAGTAAAGTGTGTTTTTTTCATGAGAGAAATATTTTTGTTAGTCTGGTGAAATCGAGAAATTTTTGAAAATTTATTTGAGGTCATGCATTATGGAGAGTCAGCATAAGGAGGGACATTTAATCATCATAAAAGCTGTAGTTCCACTATTTGAAATCAAATACACAATATAATAATACACTTCTCAGATTTGGAGTGGTCCATTATATATTCAATAAAGCAGAGGATAACCAGAAATGATGTTCATTTTGAACTTGTTTCTGCTAAACTGTTATTTATCTAGAATAATTTTTTTTTTACATTAACAACCAATTATCAAATTTTAAAGAAAATTTTTACATGAAACTCTTGGATATTGCACAAACCTTATAAAGTTTTTAGTTGAAATTCATGCATATCAATAATCTAATTCATGTATTGACTTGCCAATTTCAAGCCTTATAACCTTTTTTTTCACATTTACTATATAACTCATTTCAGTGAACTTAAAATATAGATGGTCTAGTTTTGTTTGAAATTTTTGTGTGCATTAATGATCTAATTCACATACTAGTATTAATTTGCCAATTTTATAGTGAACCTCAATGCTGCCTTAATATATAGTTGTGTATATTCTAAACTGTATTTGAAATAAAAATGCAGTGGTTTAATTCTGTTTTAATTATAACTGTAGCTTGGATAGGCATTTGAAATGCTTGCAATTAAACACCATGGAGGCCATTCATGGAGGGGGTAAATAACAAACGAACATATTTAACATCCAGGTACTTTTCAAAACTATGACGTTTTAGTATCTGATCGCATTCGTATACGCCATTGCACATAGCCATTCATGCTGCCGGCCAGCATTGTATACTACTAGTATAAACTCAACTTTTATATGCACAATGTGCTTTTTGACTCCCGTGTGCGAAGCACAAAAAGGTAGTCTTTGCAGTTAGTGTGTCTGTCTGTATGTGTGTGTGTATGTGTATGTATGTGTGCGTGTGTGAGTGTCCGTCTGTTCAACTGATATCTCAAGAACCATACATCAGTTTTTGATGAAACTTGATGCATAGATGCTCTGGGCCAATACGCAGATTTGATTAGGTTTTGGTAAAAACCCATGCATATTAATTACCTAATTTGCATGATAATTAGCTGATTTTTAGCTGTTCCATGACTGTTCCACTGATATCTAAAGAACCACTCATTTTATTTTGATGAAACTTGGCACACAGATGCTCCAAACTAATGCGCAGATTTGATTATTTTAGGTAAAAATCTGTGCAATATTAATTACCTAATTTGCATAATGATTAATCAATTTTCGGCTTTTCCACTGATATCTCAAGTACTAATCATCACATTTCAATAAAACTTGGTACAT